ACATTTTTTCTGTTTGGCTGTAGATAAACGAAAAATTGTAAGAATGTGCTGTGACTCTGAGCTGATATTGTGAATGAAATGCTTTAGATTTTAAAGGATCCACACATTCTGTGACATAACATTTAATTCCATTCTTTTTGTAAGAAAAATTAATATAGTAGTACTTGATAAAAGTGCCATATACAAAGAGAACGCTGCTAAACGGTAACGACAGATGCCTACTGAAGCCATATAAATCGTAAGGGTTATTTTTCTTTTTTTAATATAAAAAAAATGACGGTTTAATATATGGAATTTTTTTTCTTAAAAAAAAAGATTTACTAAATTGGTCATTTACCAAAATTGATCCACGGATCTTCAAGATGCGTACAAGTAGTCAGAATCATATAGAATGGTATGTTGATTATCCCTTCAGAATTATTTGAGCAGATGAATTACAATTTTTTTTTTCAATTTATTATCCCCCCTTTTTTTTTTCCTGGTGGTTCTCTGCTCAGCAAAATTGCGTCATTGCCCGATGTACATTTTGGAAGTAAGTTGTCATAAAAGGAATCAGTTGCATCATTTTTTAAATTTTGGAAATATGTCAATTTAGTGTCTAATTATTAAAATATTTTCGTTTAATATCATCCTCGTCTCCCTTAATCATGCATTGTTCATAAAGGAGCACTTGATTTTCCACATAAAGGACCGAAAACGAACGATTCCAGCAAAATACAAAACTCGGTTTACGCACCTTCAATACCACAGATGGATTTACTCTTTTCCTACATAGAACATGCAAGATACAGTAAGTAAAACCTACTATGCAATTGCAAATTGCAATCAGTCTAATGACTATCAGAGAAGTAAACGATGGCAATAAGTTGAACCTTGTGGCTCAAGCAACCAGTCAGTAATGCTCATGAGTTAACTTAACACAACAGGGCAAAAGCATGATATTTGAAGATTTGAAAAGTTCAAATTGACTCAGTAGTGGATATAATACAGCATATAACCAAAAAGGAAAAAGATAGTTGCCATTAGTTATTCAATACCAAAACATTATAAAAGTACGAGATGCCAAGCAAGCGAACAAGTACATTTTATCCTCTCGAATGAATATCATGCACGTTGTCTACCGACATAGAACAATTAGTTCCAATTGGCATATCACTGAAAAGCACGAGCAAGCCATAGCAAGAGGAAGAGCCTCCCTTAACCACTAATTTACCAAATAAATGGTGCAACAATTCTGTAAAAATCACCCAATAAGACCATAGAATAACCATGTACTTTTGTCCATCAATTACTCACTCGAATGATTGTATTGACAGATCACTTAGAAACAATTCTGAAGCAAACGACCACCGGAAGAAAGAACAAAAGGGAAAAATAAATTGAAGCTTATCACAAACAGATCAGAGAATGATTCAAGTACTCATTTCAATCAAAAATATCATAATAAATTAACTTTCAGATACAAATGTTCACTACAGGGAGCACGTACAATGCATCAGTTTATGTATCAAAACAGTTCCAACATTAGAGATCACAGTCCCCATTCATCAAGGTAACAATTTCAAGCCCAACCTCGCAATACGATTGATCTCATGCGTAAACAAACAAAAAAGCAAACTGATGAAAAATGAACACTGATGATCCTCAAAGGAGAAGCAAACAGAAGACAAGATGCCATACATAGTTAACAACAAGGTATAAATCATTGTTATATAGCAGTGTACGCTGCAAAACTCCCGCAGCATATTAGCCATATGTGCACACGTCAACACAATGGCTATCCATATACAAACAAATAAAACTATACCATCACAGGACAAATGATCGACCCATTCGCCCTAAACGTTTGAATTACATACAAACCGTTTTGTACATAGCTGATTTTGCATCAGCAAACGAATCTATATTTTTTTATGTGCGTGTTCTTCTTCTTTTTCTTTTTTTCCTTTTCATGCTTTCGGAATATTCAAATAACTATCCATGATGCAAACATTATGACCACACACGCATCAATTTCTGACTAAATTAAGAAATTTCGAAATCACGCACAGCACAAGGGACATCTCACGAGCCCGTTCTCGTTGCATTCAGGGCACCTTCTTGGCTGCTCCTCGTACTCATCAAACAACTTTCGGCTTCCATCGCAATTCGTGCACGGAATAAACCTGAAATCATCACATGCATCGCAAGGTTTCATTGCGCGCAAAGGGAGCCCTTTAATCATCCTTGCCAGCTCACCCACCTCGAGCATATGCTTTACCACCTCAGCTCCTCCAATATATCTCCCTTTAATGAAAACCTGAGGCAAGCTTACGCTATCCTGGCCGAGCACCTTCTGCAATTCCTTCCTGTAGGCAGAATCCATCGAGATGTCCCTCTCGTCCAGATTCACCCGAAACCCTCTCAAGATCAGCCTTATATTGTGGCAATCCTGGAAGGTTCTCCGAATTCCTCGAAGGCTGGTGAAGTAGACTACGACCCTGTCTTCTGTGCCCGGAAGATGGACAATGGGAGACGCAATCTTGGCAACTGCGCTCGGATAATCCGTCAACGCCTCGTGAGCTTTGGCGGAGGTGGGCGGCTGCAGGGGCTCTGAATTTTGGCCGGGCGAGGGGTGTTTCGGGGATTCGAAAATGGAGCACAATTTCCTGACCTTGTCGGAGAAGGAATTTCCGGCGGACGCCGTGGAGCCGTAGGAGCCCTTGACCGAGCCGTTGCGCTGGAAGGCCGGCGCGGTGTAGACGCCGTACAGCGGTTTGTTCAACGCCGCCGCCGCCGCCGCCGAGGAGGCGGAGGAATTCACCGTCATAGAGCGATTGAAGACAGAGGGCAGGTTGGTCTTCCCGTTGTTCGGGGGCTTCTTCCCCGCCGCGTGACCTGGCCCTTGATTCTTGCGGTCGGCCATCAATTTCGACAGCGATTGGACGGAAATGGGATCGAGGGTTTTGCAAAGATCGGAACTTTCGGGAGGAGGCGGCGCGGGGGCGGCCGGAGATGGTTTATTGGGGCTGGAATGGAAGGAATTGTAGAGAGAGAATTGGATTGGAGGATGTGAAGGAATGAAAGGAAGAAGAAAATGGAATTTTTCAATGGGACCTGGCGGTATAAAGGACGCACGTAGAGAATACGCGGGAGAGGATACCTTATATTATATATGTTCCATAATTATTAATGGACTTTGGTGTTTATTTGGTTCTTTAATAGTTTAATTAATAGTCTTACTTAAGGCATGTGAATTTTTTATTTTTATTCTTTTGAAGTGAAAAATCGAGTAAATTCCAAAATTGGGCTCAGTATTTGATAAAAATTAGTTTGTCCCAATTTGAAAGGCTCCGTAAATTGGGTGGGTTAGTTCATGTGAAAACTTTATCCACAATTATAGATTCATTTCTGGAATAATTTGCAATTTCTGTACTTGGATATAAAAAGTTTTGATTTTGATTGGATTTTTTAGTTTAGGTTGGTTAAATTTGAAAAAATTAGTATGGTTAGTTGTTAGTGGATATATTAAAATAATATTTAAAATAAAATAATTAAAATTAATTTGATATAAAAGTAGGGGAAAGAAGATGTGATGTGATGTGATGTGATGGTTAGTTAAAATTATGTGAATTGATGAATAGTGAATTAAAGTTGATGTGGTGTGTCAGAATGATTGATTGATATTATTTAAATATATTGATAATATTGATGATAGTTGGGCAAAGTTAATTAAAGTTGAATTAAAAAAAATAATTGATTTAAAAATGATTGAATTTTTTTGAATGAATTTGTATCCAAGCATCCTTGTAACGTCTTTCGACTTATCTATCCAAAATAATATTTTATCAAACCAAAAACGTAACATAATTTCTATATAATTTTCTATATTTGTACTTCAATTAGAATATTTAGTATGCGGTTGAATTTATTGATTTTATAATCTTTTTATATATTTTTCTGATTTTTCATATAAGTGGTATTTCAGTATAAAAAATTTAATACCAAGTCTCATTTATTTATATGGCAAATTCAATGAACTGATATGTGAACCTTAAATGATATGTCATACAACAAGATTAAATCGATTAGTATACCGTATCATGGTGGTCTTTTTAATAAATATATTAATTGTTTTAATTAAAATTCAAGTATATGAGAAAAAATATATTGACATTTAAAAAATAATAATTAATCAATTAAAATTATGATTTGTCATGTGTATAAAAGAGTAGTTAATATAATTCACAATTTTTTTAGGAGGTCCATAATTTATTTTTATTCTACAAATGCAACATCTATATTTTAATATTATGTTTGCGTGATTCATGTAAATACTTCAAAATTGTTTTCATAATTTTATTTTATTTATATATGTGTCTTGCTAGATTATTCGAGTCAAATATTTTCATGTTTAAACTCGTGTACATTTAATAAACGAGTTGCCATGACTAAACTCGTTTAATAAACAAACAAAAATGTGAGCCCAAGTTTGGATCGTTTAACTCAGTTCGACTCGTTTAATAAACTTTAAATCTAGACCAAAATCCAAAATTCTAACCGAGTCGATTACGAACATGTTCAACTCGACTCGTTTGATAGAAAAACTCGACTAGTTATTTCACTTTAGCTCGTTCAAATATACAAGTTAGTCGAGTTCGACCATTCACGTACAAGTCGAATCGAACTATGTTATTGGTAGTGCTATTAAATTAAATGAATCTAGCTCGGCTCGTTAAGGGTCGAGTTCGATTCGGCTCGTTTGATAAACGAGCTCAGCTCGAGCTCGAGCTCATTTACAACTCGCCTCGGGTCGACTCGGTTCGACAAGGCTCGAAAAGAGAATTTTTATATAATTTTCTATATTTCGGCTCGTCAGAGTTCGAGATCGTCTCGTTAAGGCTCGAACTCGACTCTTTATTAGTGATAAAATAGCAGAGCTCGAGCTCGATTTCATGCTCATTTTTTTAACGAGCCGAGCTCGGCCTGGCTCGTTAAGGGCTCTAGCTCAAGCTCGAGTACCCTAAGCTCGAACTCGGCTCAACTCATTTACATGCCTAGTTATCGGATATTCGGTTTGTATATATTGCAGCCCAGGGTGAAAAGCATTTCTGGCTACGCCCCTGGTTGAAGGGAGTTGGTGTACATTTGATGTACCTCTCAATGTTGTAGTATTCATCCATAAAGTCAGCTGGGTCTTTATGCAAGAAATGAATGACAAAGCAAGCATGGATATAGGAAATCCCACAAATGTCTCATGACCTACGAGTGCAGGTGTTCGTCCTGAGGACTACCACATATTGCTCATCATCAATACTAACTTGAAATCTATCTCCAACTGTATTTGGGTAGCGCACAACCTTTACATGAACTTGTTCTGTTCCACATTTCCCTTTATCGTAGACATATGGTGTCAGTTATTCCACTATCTTCTAAAGTCTTTCCATGTTTCCTTGACATTAGATCTGTCCTAATTTCCTCAAGCATATCTATGAGGTGTTTGCTTCTGGACTTGACAATGTAGCCAATAAAAGTCTCACTGACATTATTTTTAATCATATCACATCTAAGAATGGTAGATATGAATGTTTTGCAATATCTTCTGGGGTCTCTTGAAATAAAATCCTCATATGTTGCTTGTTCTTCGATGTTCAGGTCCTCAAGTGCCAAATTATATTTGGGACTCAACATTATTTTCCAAAACATGGACTCAAGTTATGGCCCTTGAACTTTTTACAATTCATGTAGACATGTCTTGGACAATTTATGTGCTCAACATATGGAGTTAACACTTTCACAACATTCATCAACCCCTGCCCATGTAAGTTCACACGTATTAATACAAAACACAAGTGTTGAGCTTCTTATAAGTCAAGCTACCGATATTGGCGTGTTATCTGAGCTACTTATATGCCGAGCTATATATATTCCTTAGTTAGCCGAGCTGTCTGAACACCTATATCTAAACCAATCGGCCTTGCTAATCTTTAGTCTATAAACCGAGCTAACCAAAAACGGTTTTACCGAGCTGTCCTTATATGCTATATCACAATCCAAATTTCGGTGGGTCAATATTTCGTGCAAATCTAAACTGCGAATAACTGTTTTCTCAATTTTATTTAGTATATTAAATTGTGAAATATTGCTAATGGTACCAGAAAAATTACACAAACAATCACATATACTAGGCATCACAAATTTTTATATGAGACAATTTAACGGTTCAGCGAATTGACCTGCATACTATGAAAACAAATATTCATATTTACACTGTCAAATTGCATATTTCTATATATAATATTATTTTTTAAAAATATAATACTTTCAAATAAAAATAATGATCTCAGCCGAGACCAGTTTAAATCCTACTGTAAAAAGATGTGTACTTGAACAAAATGTGAGGGACAAAGAATTAAGCTTCACGTGACTTGTGAGTAGCCTTCGCTTTGTCAAAGAGTCTATTTAATTAATAATTAAATCTATATCTATATCTATATCTATATATATATAAAGAGGTTGTTGAAAAAATACATTAATAGAAAGTTTGACCAAATAAATATAATGTTTGACTTACTATTAATGGAAAGTTCGAAAAAACACATGTAAATCTTTAGAAACAAAATCTGAATCCTATTTTTTCGGTAACAAATTTGGAGATTCTAATGGCAAAATTTGAATTCTATTTCTTTAGTATCATAATTTATTTTTTTACCAAAATTTAAACCATATCTTTTTTGGTAACAAATTTAGAGATTCTTATGCAAAAAATGTGTCAATTATTTATAAAAACAATTCTAAATACAAATCAATTTAAAAAACATGCAAATTGGATACAAATTTACGAAACAAATAGTTGTATAATTTCTAACCAATTCTTTCAATCTTAATGAATAATTTTTTCTTCAAAAAAAGTGTGTAAATTGGTTAAAACCACGTGCAATTTTTATTTTAAAATAAAACTGATATTTGGACGGGATGTACATTCAAAATTGTGCCCACATTTTTTGGTAACAAAAGCGGTTCATCTTTTAAAATAATTAATTGCACATCATATTTAGAAAGTTTTAGATATTTTAAATCATAAAATAGGGTAGCATTAAATGCCCCTAAAATTATGGGTTTTGTTGAATTCATTTATTATAATTTTGACAGATATTAAAGTGAATATGAAATTCAAAATCTCTTCTCATTTTATTTTTAATAAAATCTGCATCCAAATACGTGTGGTTTTGAAGTGAAAATTTGAAATTCAAAATCTCTTCTCATTTTAGTTACAAGAAAATCGGACTGCATTCAATACTTGGACCAATTTTAAAAACTATATATATATAATAAGAGTTACCATTTAACAAAAATAGTAGCAAAAAAATAGGAAAGAATTTAATGCAACCTATAAATAATAAGTTTTATTATTTTTTTATTTTTATCTTTAAAAAATTATACAACATTAAATGTTACATTAAATTTTAGGCTTTAATTTGTTTATTATTTAAAATTTTAGGCTAAGATCTATTAAGTGTGCATTTTTCATTTTTATTATTTTTTTTAAGAAACAACGAAGAACATTAAAATCTCAGCCTGTATATTTATAAAATCTCAATTTAAAAGGTAATACAAATTTTAAAATATCGGTCTTTATATTTATTCCTTTCAAAAAAAATATTGAATGCTATTCTTTAAATATCATTTTCCACTAATCATCACAATTTTTTCATTTGGAACGTGTGATAATATATTGTTTTTTCTCAATACTTTGTAGTGTTTAAAATATCACTTTGTAATGTTTATCATACTTTGTCTATCAATCTATTAATTTTTCTATACTCGGTTTCAAAAGGTAAAATAATTTTCAAATTCTCAGTCTCAATAATTGTGCATTGAAAATAAAAAAATTAATGATAATATATTATTTGTTAATAGTACACAATTTTGAAAACTCCATTATAAATTGTATGTTGATCTCCAAAATCATTTTATAAATTCACTCGACTTTGTTAAATCTCCACAAAAATATGGTAAAACAAAATGAGACGATCAACTTTGTATGAAAATAAAATAAAATCAATAAATCAATGTGAAGTTCACAAAAAATTAACATAATGAATAATTTGTATAGTACATGAATCTAAAAAATTATACTCGCGTGGATTCTAAAATTCAAACTTATAGTTATCATCATCTTCTGGAAATTGAATAATATATTATAGACAAGATTTTTTTAAATAATTTTAGACATGTTTTATTTATAAAATAGTTTAGAGAAATTTTAGGTGAATCACATCTTTCAATAATAATATATTTTTTTTTTCCCAAAACAATAGATAATATTATAAATCAAAATGCACAAATGTGCGAATACACAGCAGCCAACGACTGAATACACAGCAGCCAACAGCTGAAAAAAGTTGGAGGACAAGTCATAAGATCGCCTAGAATCCCGGCTAGCGACGCTAGAATAAAAAACACTCAAAACTAAACTAACAAACAACACAAACAACTAAAACAAACTACAAGGACCCCAACAGGGTAATACCCGAGTGTCGGATCCCAACAAGATAATAAATTTGACACTCGAGCTCACAGGGGCCAACGACCCAAACCTAATACACAATACACTCGCGACACAAATACAGACACATAAATAAAACACATAACAATAACATAAAAAACTAAAATAGATCTAACAGCCCTTCCTCAGCGAACGAGCTAGCCCGAACCAACAGTGAACGATCGACACAAGACCAATCCAGGCCAAGAACCTACTACCGAAACTGCAATCAAGCCTATACAGCAGCAAAATCCTCACCCCGAACAAATCCCCGAATCGACCCGTCTATAACCGAAAGAACCATTTTAACCCTCACACCGGCCCACTCGAATTCTTCTAACACCACTAGACGAGCCCGATAAAACTGATTCCCTCGCCGCCTAACACCACTAGCCGACCAGGGGATTGTGAGAGGGAAACGGACCCTCACCCCGACAACCGCAGCCACCGCAACCTGTGGCCGCAGCCATTGGAGTCCCACCCAATCCAAAGACGCGCGCTCCACCCACCACCTCCACAGACTCCCCGATCTGAGGTCCAAGCTCCGCCTGAAAGGTAGAGCTCCGCCGGCAAGGGCAGATCCCAACGATTGCAGATACAGTGGAAGACAAAAGACGTACCTCCACCAGTTAGAGCTTCGCCGACGACGGAGGGGAGAGCCCCAATAGCGAGCCAATAGCCGACCGGAAGGGGCGCCATCACCAATTGAAGCTCTGTCCGCAACCTAGGGCAAGATCCCTAATCGAGGGCCATCCACAGAGTTTCAGGGTCGCGCGACGTCAGAGGAGGGCAAGACGGTCAGAGACGACCCCTAGCCGAGATTGCACCGTCACCGAGGAAGGCAGAACTGTCGGAATTAAAGAGGCTCGCCGGTTGAATATTGGGGGTAGGGTTTCGCAGATGAAATTGGGACAAAATAATATGGTACTATCATATTCACTATAATAATAATATATAAAATTTAGATACTTTACATGCGTTATATTATATAATATTTTAGGTGTTTTTAATATTTTAAACATATATTTTTTATGTTATTTTATACAAGATAATTAAATATTGTTTACAATTGATATACGATAAATAATGTCACATATTAACTCTACATCTTAATTACAATTATGAGTTAATATTGTTTACATGTGCATCGCACGGGCTACACACTAATAATAATTAATGCAGAGCCTATTTTAATTTCTCCTCTGTTTTGCCATTCAAAAATCCAACTTTGAAAATCCTGCAGATTCTGGATGATATCAAAAATCCAACTTTGAAAATCCTGCAGATTCTGGATGATATCTGGTGGGATTATATATATCTCATATTATTTTTTTCCAACTGTTCAAATCTTCTTCACAAAATTCAAACATAAATATATATATACCTGATACCTCATTTTGATACCTTCAAACTCAAAATCAATTAAATTTCTATACAATCATCTGATCATCTTCTTCATTATCTGTGAACTCTACAACATTAGCAATGGCATTAGCCGACATTGAGGTGCAATCGTTTCACGTACTTGCGGTCGACGACAGCCTCATCGACAGGAAATTAATCGAGAAACTTCTCAAGACCTCTTCATATCAAGGTACATTACCTAGTTAGTTAATTAATGGCACATATTTTATCTCACTTAATGACATAATTAATTCTTGAATATTGATTAATGCTGTTATGTATATGCAGTTACTGCTGTGGACTCTGGAGTAAAGGCCCTTGAGTATTTAGGGTTGCTTGATGAAGAAAAGCCAAACTTAGATCCAGATCATCATGTAATTAGTTATTGCTTCATTACTATTAAATTTTTTCTTCCTTTTTTTGTCTATATAATTTAATTCCATATTATCCTATTTAATTTAATTCACACTTTGTATTCTAATAATTCCCAAAACATTTTCTTATTGCAGGAAGTGAAAGTGAACATGATCATCACAGATTACTGTATGCCCGGCATCACAGGTTACGATCTGCTTCGAAAAATTAAGGTAACTTTTCATTTTGAATTTTTATTTTTCTTCAAATTTCTTTTAAGCAATCGCTAATCGAGTCAATTTAATTAATTACATATCAGGAATCAAGATCGTTTAAGGACATCCCAGTAGTGATAATGTCGTCCGAGAATGTCCCATCGAGGATTAGTAGCTGTTTGGAGAAAGGAGCAGAGGAGTTTTTCCTCAAACCAGTTAAGCTATCAGATGTGAACAAGCTTAAGCCACACTTAATGAGGAAAGTTGGAAAACAACAAACAGATGATCATAAGCCAAACAATGCTGCAAATGGTAATAAGAGGAAGGCAGTGGAAGAATGTGTGTCCTCAGACAGGACAAGAACAAGATACAATAGTTGTGTTGACTTGGAAGGATAGTGAATAAGAATTTGGGTGATTTGGTTTATCTTGACTGATTTTTTGCTATTGTTTTAATTTTCCTTTTGTGTACATATAATATTAAATTGTCTGGTAGAATTGTTATGCGCTGATTTGGAGTAGAAAATGTGTTGTTTTTCCCCCCATCATTTTTCTATATTTACTAGCATGCCTATGATCTTATTAAGTCAATGATACATTTTAGTTCAAACTTGTTTGAGACTTGATTATGCAAAAGACATGAATTTTACCATTTTCTATTGTTCCCATTTGTATAAATGGATGAATACTATATTATATTATATCTATCATTATATAAAAAGAATAACCTTTTTATAAATTTAGAAACTTTTTCCCGCCAAAATCATTAAATATATCCTACATATAGTAATTGTTGGACAAATCTGAATAGGCAAAACAATCGGCTCATTAATTGTATAAAGATTTGTTTCTATTTTTCATGTTTTTTAGTTTATCAAAATCGTTGTTTGACAATAAATATTTATTTTTCTTTTTCCTATTTTTAGTATAAATCTACACGAGCTTATTTCTTCTGTTACAAAATCTCATTGCTTGACAATAAATATTTGTTTTTTTTTTTCTATTTTTAGTATAAATCTACACGAGCTTATCTCTTCTGTTACAAAATCTCATTGCATACGTCTCACGTGTTTAAAAAATCTCATCCATTATTTATACAGATTTGAAAAAATAAAATAAAATAGAAACCAATTCATAATTACTACTAGAAATCCATTATCTTTAAAAAAAAATAAAATAAAATAGAGACCAATTCATAATTACTACTAAAAATCCATTATCTACTTTAAGAAGCTAATTTTCATCGGTCTAATTATTAATATTTTTACAAATATTATAAGCTAACCATACAAAAAAGTATAATAATAATTTTGAAATGGTGTGTAATCAAATTTTTTTATATTCTCTTATACAAAATAATTTTACATTGTTTGACCTCGAATCTTTAATTTATAATTATTAAGTATTGTTTATCCTTCTATTTAATTTATAATTTTTTTTTCTTCCTCTTCTTAAATATTATCAATAGTAGTTTCCACTTTCGCCATTGAGTGACTCAAACTCGAGGTCTATTTATAACATTGTTAATTTAATATTGTTCCCGTGCATCGCACGGGGTACACACTAGTATATGCAAAAAATCTCTAACATAATCTCAATAATTGATCACATGGTGATTCTTTAACAACATGCTATAAAAGTTGTCAAATTCAATTATATTTTCCTAGGAGCTTGATATTATCTTTTTTAAAGTTCATAATATGCGGTTCGGTTGATGACACACTTAGAGCATCTACAATGATTGAGTCTAGTCTTGTTAATGTGGCATGTAAATAAATCAAAGTCTTAGATGACATGGATAAAACTATGTAAAATTGATAGAATTCATTCCAATGGAAAGAGACTAATGGCATGATTGGTATGATGGAATGGAATTTCGTAAAAATGGAATGAATTGAAGAATGAAATGATTATGGGAATGAAATGAAACATGTTTTGTCATTGATCCGTTTGGTATGCAGAAGGAATAGGATTGAAATGGAATGACATTATCATTTTTTATTATAAAAATAAATAAAAGCTTTTTTTAAAAAATAATATACTTTTAATAAAGTATATATAAATGCTTTTTTAATAATATATAAAAATAAAATAATATATTTTTAATAATATATTTTGAATAATATATAAAAATAGAATAATATATTGTTTAATAATATAAAAAATAATATATTTTTAATAATATATAAAAATAAAATAATATACTTTTAAATTATATATAAAAATAATATATTCTTAAAAGTAATATATTTTTAATAATATTTAAAAATAAAAAGTAATATATTTTTAATAATATATATTTTATTTTTTAATTAAACAGTAAATAAAAGTAAGTTTTCAATTTTTTATTTGAATTTTATTTTTTAAAATAATATATTTTTAATAATATTTAAAAATAAAAAGTAATATATTTTTAATAATATATATTTTATTTTTTAATTAAACAGTAAATAAAAGTAAGTTTTCAATTTTTTATTTGAATTTTATTTTTTAAAATAATATATTTTTAATAATATTTAAAAATAAAAAGTAATATATTTTTAATAATATATATTTTTAATATTTTTCAATAATATATTTTTAAAAGTAATATATTTTTAATATATAAAAAATAATATATTTTTAATAATATATAAAAATAAAATAATATATTTTTAAATTATATATAAATGTTTTTTTAGTTTTATTTTTATATAAGTATTTAATATATCTAATTAAAAAATAAATAAAAGTAAGTTTTCAATTTTTTTTATTTGAATTTTTTTAAAAAAATTATTTTTTTAATATATTTTAATCATGATTTATAATATATATATATTATATATTTATTTTTTATTATTATTTGTTAATTTTATTTTTTGAAAAATTGATTCTCATACACACGGGAATGAGAAAATTTTCCATTTACTATGGAATGGTCATTCCTTCCCAAAAGATATACCAATCATGGGATAAGGAATGAGTAAGGGAATGATCATTCCATTACCATGTCATTCCTTCCTACCAATCATGCCATAAGTGTATGTTTGGAAGCACTTTTGTAATGGACTTTTGACTATAAAAGTCCATTTCCTATATAAAAATATGTTTGGTGTAAATAACAAAATGAACTTTTAAAAAAGTAACTTCCCACAAAAAGTCCAATTCAAAGAAGTTTATATTGGACACTTTTTTAGAAGTCACTTTTAAAAAAGTCCATCTTGGGACTTCTCAATAAGTGTTTCCAAACAAGCGTCTACTTGGGCCTAAAATAGACTTAAGGGTAGACCGAATCTCTTTTTTCTGGCTGCCACATCAGTAGAACCCAGTCTACTTTTGTTTGTATTGGAAAATACATTTTGTAAACTAGGTCTATTTCTTAAGTGACATACAATTTTTGTGATTGAACCAAAGCATTGTGGATGCTCTTAGAGTGTCGCCCATTTTTTTACTTCTGATCAATTACAGACTGTCATATGGAAAATGTTTTTATTTTGCTTTTGTAATATTGTAATGTTTTACTTAATTCTTAGTGTTTTTTTTTTCTGCACTTACTTAATTCTTAGTTTAGCAATGGTTATTTATTTTTGTATTTTTATTAATCTTTCTCTTTTGTTCATTTATTTTTTTATTTTTATTAATCTTCGCTTTTAGTCTTGTGAATGCGTCTAATTAGTGGATTCTATGATACACTCGTTTTCGACATGTATGTCTCTCTGATTTCAATTGTGTAGTTGATTCAGGATTGTAATTATATGTTTGTTATTTATAAAATCCTCTATTGTATCGGGAAAAGAAAAAAAGAAAAAATAAATCTTTATAACAATTAGAAATAATTTGTTTACAAATAAAAAATATTATTAATTTATGTGAGAAAAGTGTGTCAAACTAAAATTCAATCTTTTAAATCAAATCTAATTGATTCTGTTATGTCTATGAAATCAATTTTAATTGATTTCGATTTTTTATTTGGATTCTTACATATCAATTTTTTTGTTTACCTTTAACGTGTCAACTTATTGCCTCACAGCTCACAAGTAGCAATCTAAACACAAAAAACCAAAAACAAAAATCAATATATGAATCTCTAGATAACACAAGCAGTTGACTTCTAAATTGCGAAATCTGCTACGNTTAACTAAAAAATTCAGGAGAATACAATCGAGGTGTCAATTTACACCATAAGAATTAGAAAGTTTAGTCCTACCTCTTGGAACTATACATGTCCAAAAGATACAAACTCCATTAAAGATACAAAAGAACACGCAAAATACAACTTCTTAAAGGAAACTAGATGCAGAACACCCCTTAACAGAATGAAAAACATAGGAAGACAAAAAACAACACACAATAAAAAATAGAATAATACCTCCCCTAATCCTAACAGGTGAAGCACACGACAACTCAACCAACAACCGAGTCACACACCACAACAATGAACCCCATCAGAGCAATAAACCTAGAACCCAAACCCAAAATCTGTGACCACTCGAACCGCCTAGTCGGTTTTGGCAAGGAGATCGTTCTCAGTCCAGATTTGGACTCCGAGGAACTTCAGCACTGGGGAAAAGAAGGTGACCCACCAAGAACACATGGAGGACTCGAGACTAGGACCTAAAGAGGCCACCCAAAGCTACTCGTAGTCGAGCGGACCGACGAACCAGTAGCTCAGTCGAGCGACCATAACCTCCAAGGTTCAGAACAAAGGCGCACTAGTACAATACTCATGTACTACACGGGTATTGAGTTAAGAAATATATGATAAAAGTTATTGCTCAAATAAATTTTTTATCTAAAAATTTGATGGACTAATTGATGAAAAAAAAAAACAAGAGGAATAGACAGTGAAAGTGATTTATAAATCGTAATTTAGGAGATAAATATGAAAAAAAAATTATAATATTGTAAGATTCATACTTGCCCAAACTAAGAAGGAAATGTGTACTAAGAGAAAAAAATAACAAAATTAAATATACACTTACCAAGTTTGAAAAAAGTTATTTATGTCTAATTCCAAGCCTAACAGAGCAAAAATGTTCATGTAAACAATATTACGAAGCATAGATTTTCGTCATGTTAGCATCCGATGCGTGAGAATATGTCACATAAACTCAACATGTTTTGAATTAATATATAAAGAGGGATGAGACGAAACGCCAATAGATCGACTGTTTCCCTCAGCTGGGGGGTAAATGTGGCGGCCGCCGACCCCCTCCGATGCCGGGGAGATAGGCAGTGCGGCAAGACCCACCGCTGGCCAAGTCTCCCGCAGAGCTCCGAAGAGGCAGGAGAGAAAATCCCAGTCGCGACTCGGCCAAGGTCGGTTCGATCGGTGCAGTGGTCAGGATGCCGAAAGAGTGGTGGTGGGGCGACGTCTGCAGAGAAGGATTTTCTGCATTTTTTTTTTTTTTCGAAAGAGAAGAGAGGCGAGAGAATTATTTTCCACAATATTGTGTAAAGAGAAAAAATCGACAAAAAATTACATTTAATTAGAGAAATGTTCAAGAGACATTTTGGTCAAATTACTATTTCATATATCATAATGAGCTTCATTCAACCTTTATGGAATTTTAAAAATTGAAAAAACTTTTATTACAAGAATTACACGCCTCAAATGTATCATGTTTTTAATTTTATATATATTTATGAACTAATACAATACTCGTGAACTACACAGGTGTTTCATAGAAAAACTAATTGTCCAACAAAAAGTGAAAAATGTAAAATTCTTATTGTGAAATAAAAATATATAAATAATTAATAAGAAATAAATTTATTAACATTATTTCAAATTCTAGAAAATATTTTTGTAAAGTATTATTTGTTTTAGTTAATATATATTTATTTTTGTTAAAATTAAATAAAATCTATCATTATATAAAAAGAATAACCATTTTACAAATTTAGAAACTTTTTCCCGCCAAAATCATTAAATATATCCTATATATAGTAATTGTTGGACAAATCTGAATAGGCAAAAAAATCCGCTCATTAATTGTGTAAAGATTTGTTTCTCTTTTTCCTGTTTCTTAGTTTATCGTTTTAACAACAAATATTTGTTTTTCTTTTTCCTATTTTTAGTATAAATCTACACGAGCTTATCTCTTTTGTTACAAAATCCCATTGCATACGATCTTAGGTGTTTAAAAAATCTCATCTCTTATCTATACAGATTTGAAAAATAAAATAAAATAGAAATCAATTCATAATTACTACTAGAATATCATTATCTTTAAAAAGAAAAAATAAAATAAAATAGAAACCAATTCATAATTACTACTAGTTTTTACAAATATTCTAAGCTAACCATACAAAAAAGTATAATGATAATTTTGAAATGGTGTGTAATCAAATTTTTTTATATTCTCTTATACAAAATCATTTTACATTGTTTGACCCCGAATCTTTAATTTATAATTATTAAGTATTGTTTATCCTCCTCTTTTATTTATAATTATATTTTTCTTCCTCTTTTTAAATACGATCAATAGTAGTTTTCACTTCCGCCATTGACTCAAACTCGAGGTCTATTTATAATATTGTTAATTTAATATTGTTCCCGTGCATCGCACGGGCTACACACTAGTATTTAATTATCCGGTGTTATAGTGAACATCACGAGCGCTTGAAAGTTAAATATATGTATCAAAATAAAAAAGTAAAGAAATTTATATTTTTATACAACTAAGAACTAAAAAAATGACAAATTAACTTTGTCAAAATGATAATTTTCTTAACCACACACACACATTTATATATATGTATCTACAACTCAATAATTTAATTTTTTTCAAGTTTGATTATATTATATTTATATCTTATATTCATATAGTTTTCCTCCTGATCAAATATTTTTTAAAATATCATCAACTTTATAATATTCGACAATTTAAAATATAATGTATATGAGTGTAATATTTTAAAATTTATGAAATAAAATAATTATTTTTATAATTTTAATTGTAACGATTTTTTTTTTTCACGATCATAATGTTCAATCTTTATGTAGTCTTTATTTAAGTCGAGACATGAACTTTTAGAGTATTTATTTATATTAATTAAATGTTCATATATATATATATATTTTGTCAAATACAATAACTATTTTATGGTATGTTATACGCATAAATTTCTATTGCTTTATAAGGTAATTTATAATTTTATTTGAAATACTGTAATTTAGCTTAATAAATAAATGTAAATTTTATATATAAGACTATATATCATTGTTTTGTATTATATATGTGTGCGTGTATATAATATGGATGTCAAATCGAAGACTGTTAAAAGATAAATAATTTAATATATATCATATATGAAAAATAAAATACAAACCAAAAGTAACAAAACTTTAAAAATAAGAAGAATGAACATTTATGATAATTGATGTATGAATTGAATAAAAAAATGATATGTCATATATGGTAATGTAGGAAAAGAAAATGTAAAATAGTTTATGGTAACTAATTGCAGAAGAAGAGAAGGAAGAGATCAATTAGGATTAATGTGAATAATATAGACATTATGTAAAATCCAAACTTTTTTTTTTTGTATAAAAAATAATATTTTATATCCAAGCCTAATTCTGAAACATGGTTTTTGTCACATAGAATTTCGAAGCGTGAGAACATGTCACTCAAGCTCAACGCATTCGACAATTATATATGTGGTGGATTTCATTCAACTCCTGCCAAATTTAAAAGATTAAAGGAAATTTTGTTACCAGAATTACATGTTTTATACATACCTCATTCTTGAATCAATGAAGGAATGACATCTAAAGAAACAAAGCTATACATGCAGTTCAAAACGTGATTACTTACGCAATACGAGAATACTCGTCAATTTTTTGCATCAAATGGATGGAGATGAGTATATTTCGTGTGTACATGTAATGTGTTCACAATTGAGATTTAAGACTTTTTAAAATTCGGTGGGATTTCTAAAGAAACAATCATATACGAAATCTTATTTCTAAACCAAACTTAACATTTCACAAAATTCTTTTGAAATCTGCAAACCTTATAAAGTTTCAAATCTTCTCAAAATGTCACTTGAAATCCCAAATGAATACATCAGTAGATCATTTGGGCTTCCTAAAGGCTTTTTAAGAATTTAGGAATCATCCCCCTGTATATTAATTCAGAACGTGTTGAGCCTAAGTGGCAGGCCCGCATGTTTCGGGATCCTATGTGGCAAAATTACACGCTTCGTTTGAGGCTTGGGTAGATTTTAATTTACTCCAAAAATAATTAGGTTCGAATTATCCATAAATATGTTGATTATTTATGGTCATGTTACATGTATTATTTGCATTTTAATATCATTTCTTATTATAACAATTGAATTGTAAATATATTTTAAAAGTTAATAACTTTTGTATTTTTTATCAGTTCTACATATATAATATATCAAATTAATCATCTCTTGATGAGCTTCAATTTAACATCCATATTTTATGCATAAAAAAATAAATTATATTTATCTTTATAACAATAATAAATTACTTTTCATATTAGTTAGAAAAATAAATTATTCATTAATTAATATATTTATATTTCAAGTAGTTATATGATATAAGTTATAAAAATTACTATAATATAACACATGTAAGTCGCACAAGCAACAAGTGTTATTCTAAAATATATAATAATATATATTTTTTGTAAAAAAATAAATAAAATCTAAATAAATTTTCTAATTAATATTAAAATTTAAGAATAATTTTTTAACAAGCACCCGTGTAATACACAGGTATTATACTAGTAGTATATTTAATTTAGAATTTTTAATACTTTTAAAAATCTTGAGAGTATTTATTTTGGATTTAAAAATTCTTACAAAATACAGAGGTATTTAATTTATTTGAGACTAATATTTGATAAGAATTTTTATGATTTGTTGAGATTTCTTGAAAAAAAAAAAAATTCGCATATGATTGTTTCTTTAGAAAATTTCACCTTCATACTTGATTTTATAGTTTTCAAAATTTTGAGTTTACGAAATCTAACTCAAAATTGAAAATTTTGAGTTTACGAAATCTAACTCAAAATTTCACCTTCATACTTGATTTTATAGTTTTCCTCCAATTGAAAATTTTAAAAAATATCAAATCTTAAAGCGTATAAAAATTACCCGAAATTCCAAACGAATACACGCACTGCAATATTTCCAAACAATCAATAATTCGCTTGTTTCACTTGCATGTTTTATTTGTATTTTTTGTTTTATTCGATGGATGACATATGTACGATGACGATGATGTCAAGATTGTACGCATCATTCATCAACTAAACAGAAGATCTTTAACTCAGTTAAAAAGCATGAGCATCAAAGACTGGCTGGTGGACTGTGGTGATTACAAATTTCAGTTAAAAATGCTTACCACAGTGTAGTTCACTGTCCTCAAAGGCCACCGCGTCAGAGATTCCTTAGCCGCATTCTCTCATCTCATGAACAATTTCCGGTTGTTACTCTCCGCCGCAGCGGCGGTTCTTCTCGCCGTCGGATCCTTCCCACTTCTCACCAAGCTCCGCCGTCCCCATGTCACCCGTAAGTGTGCAATTGCTCTAAATGTCTCACCCTTTTCAAGGTACAATTTGCCCAAGAGCAATCACCGCCGTTTCACCATCTCACTTCCCTTTCTTCTCCGTTGAAATTGATGGGTTGTCTCTCTCTTTTGACCAGAGCTGTGGTTGCGCGGTGGGGAAGTGGCGGATTTGGTGGTGACGAATGGGACGATTTACACCAGCAACGCTGCTTTCCCGTTCGCCGACTCCATGGCTATTGCCGGCGGCCGGATTCTCCGTCTCGGGGACTATTCTTCTTTACAGGTTGTGTGGCATCCCTTAATCTCTATCTGTCAATTTTCGAATTCATTCTCAGCCTCACTGACTTCATTGTTTCCACTTGGGAGTAATTTTGGGAAGAAATTTACTTGTAAGCACAAGCGAGAGTGATTGTTGTTTAATCTAGATATCCACTTTAAACCCTTATGATCATTGATGATAGGAAGAGATTGAGTTTCCTATCATTAAAAAATTCTGTAATTAAGTTGTTGATTGGTGCTGCAAGGAAATACACATGTAGATGACCAAGAAACTAAGAAATAAATGTATCATTGGATGAAGCTGGTTGTTCTTCTCAAAGAAAAAGCTAAACTTGTACTTTCGACAACATCTGCTAAATTGGTTAGGTAGAAATCAACCCTTTTTTAAATTGTTTGCCCAAGTGTATCGCGAGAAGAATGAAGTCTGGAAGATTAAGTCGACTTCTCTTACGCACTCTATGTAAGCAGAGTAAGCTGCTTTCGATGGTCTCCGCCTTCTTTTCTTGGACCTTATAGGAAATGACTTCTTATTTAAGCTTAGGTTTGTTACTGGGAGCAACTTATTATAAGGGGACCTTTGAAGAGAGAAGCAAGGAGCGGACTTCTTCCCCTTATAATTATGAATTACGATCTTGTCTCATTCACTTTCTAATTTAATGGTGGGAATAGTAGGGGTGTTGGTTATGCAATATCAACACAAAAGCTGTGGATATTTATGGATGTGCCGTTCCAATGTCTTATATCTGACAGGATTTGGCTGGACCCAAGACCAGAACTTTGAATCTAAACAAGAAATTGGTGGTACCTGGATTTATCGACTCACACGTGCACTTGATTTTTGGAGGATTGCAGGTTTTGTTTATGACCTTCCAATTTCATTAATCTATTGTGAGTGACAATTTGATCACAATCCATTTACTTTTGGTCAAACCAGGAGCTTGAGAGTAAAAATACTGATCCTTTGTCTATTTATTTGGTTAGAGAGTTTGCATTATAAGTATAGGGATTTACAAGGACCAAAGAATTTTGATATCTTTTGATGTGAGATTATTTAATGTTATTGCAATTTGACTTCTTTGTAAAATGTTGTTTGTTAATTCACGAACATTCTTCAAGGGTGAAATGGGGTAGCAAACAAAGGTTCTGGGTGTCAAGTTCATTTACCCCTTTGTTTTTATGGGTGATAATTTATTCTCCCCGTAATTTTCAGTATATATAAATTATTATGTTTACTTGGATCGGGTGAAGTGAATATACATTACCGCACCTGAACCTTGGCATGTTGCACTTAATAAGAAACGATATTACATGAAATTATTTTTTGTAGTTGCAACTTCAATAATTGATTTAAGTTGAAAATGGAAGCAGATGGCTCGAGTTCAACTTCGTGGCATCAGCCGAAAGGACCAATTTGTGAACAAGATCAAAGAAGCATTATCAAGTAAGTCCTATCACAATCAGGCACGTATAACTTAGTTGGATCCAATAGATTTTAAGTTATTCAGAGTTGAATCTTGATAATGGTCTTATTGTCCCTATTGTAGATGCTATAGCTTTCTCTTCTTTTTTCTCTCTTTTTTTCCTTTTTAATTTCTGTCGTTGAACTTCTCATGTACACATGGTTGATGTGATTTAGATTGAGATCCATGTCCAAATTTTCTGTGTACAAAGTTTCTTCCAACTTCCTTTGTGTTAGATCTGAAGCACTCTTGTAATTTACTAGATAAAATATTTGTAGATTTGCAACCTGGATCTTGGTTGCTGGGTGGTGGTTGGAATAATGACCTATGGGGAGGAGAGCCACCAATGGCATCTTGGATTGATGACATTACACCTCATAACCCTGTATGTGTGGTTTACATCTTTATGTACTAAAGCTAAAAAAAGGTTCTTTCTTATATAGATTAAGTTGATATGCAGGTCTGGCTGTCAAGAATGGATGGGCACATGGGTTTGGCTAACTCTATAGCACTAAATATTGCTGGGATATCTAATAGCACAGTGGATCCAGATGGTGGATTCGTAGTGAAGAACAATATTGGAGGTGTTATTTCTATTAAGGATGTTGAGATGTGTATTGACATTTCCTCTTTCTGATGTGGAAGGTGTCAATTACAAAAGAAGCAAACTCTTAGTTTAAGTTGCTCAAGGATTGCATACCTCTAAATTTATGACAGGATATTTTTCAAGTCTTTGTTCGTAATAACGGCGGTGGAAGCATCATAATTCTTTGCGTCCTGTAATTTCTATATTTTTGTTGACTTGTAGAATTAGTTTTTATAGATTCTCTGTTTATTTTGAGGTCACATGCAGAACCTACTGGTTTGTTGATTGATTCTGCAATGAGCCTTGTCATGTCATGCATTCCGGAGGTCACAGTGGAGGAGAGAAGGGAAGCCCTTTCAAGAGCTAGTGATCATGCTTTGATGAGAGGTGTTACGACAGTTGTTGATGTTGGGCGATATTTTCCTGGTGCATCACCAGAACTTTCTTGGGAGGATTTGTCAGGTTTCACTTATAGTTTGTTAAGGATTTTATTTGTGATAAAACTACTGTTTTGTCGGCTAGCAGCATCTGGGCCTGACTCATTTATGTGTCTCTTTCTAAGCAAAAGAGGTGACTGATACCTTAATCTAGTTCTGGTTTGAATCCTTCAAAGCCTTTAAACAAAAAACAGATAAGAACTTATAGTGAAAGGGGTTGCATTCATTTTTGTGTACATTGATTTATTTTCATATTCTTTTGGAAGTAACTTACATATTTATTTATGTGTTGCTTGCAGATGTCTACAGGTGGGCTGATTTATCAGGAAAGATGAAGATTAGGGTTTGCTTGTATTTCCCAATGGAGACATGGACACGCTTACATGTAATTCAGAATTCATTTTCATCAGTACTTGAAATAAAGCTTCATTATACATGTATATTAGGTCTAGTTTACTGAGTGACGTCAGAATTTCTGGTGAGCTAATGAGTAGAATTGCTAGAATGTCATGTCTGCTTGGTTTATATATTAGCTGGAAACTAGAAGTGCAGAAACATGGTTAACCAGATGCTATTTAACTTGGTGTTTCCCAAGGTTCATAAGTAATTAAATCTGGCTTCATACTGTCTTGCATTGTTTATATTGTGTTATCGTTATAGATCCATCTAATGTTTTGGTACCTTGTACAGGAACATATAGAAAGAACAGGGCGTAAATTGAGCCAATGGATTTATTTAGGTGGCGTGAAATCTTTCGCAGATGGATCTTTGGGTTCCAATAGTGCACTTTTCCGTGAGGTGATAATGAATTGTCGTTTACTTTTTGTGGTTAACCGAACATTAACTTTGCAGCATTTCATTTCCTTTTATTGGTCAAGTGACTTGCTTCATAGTTTTTACATTTTATTTTGTTTTTACACATTTTATTTTCAAATTTTGTATTAGTTAATGGTAGCATTATTGTAATTATTTTTATTTATTTATTTATTTGTAGCCATATGCTGATGAACCATCTAATCGTGGCCTGCAAGTGACAGATACAGAAATGCTATACAATATGACTCTATCTTCTGATAAAGCTGGGCTTCAGGTGCTCTGTCCTTTCTGTGCTGATGTTGTCTATCCTTGTTATACCATCGAAATTAGCATGTCAACATTATTATAATTTTAGTTTATTTCAGGTTGCTATTCATGCCATAGGCGACAGGGCTAATGACTTGGTCTTAGACCTGTATAAAACCGTGGCTTCTAAGAATGGAATGAGGGACCGAAGATTTAGGGTAAGTGTGCATTTTATAGATAATCCCCCTTATACTCTATGTTTGCAGCTACATGTTATGATGCACTAGAACTTTTCAGTTATAAAGTTTTAGTGACAAAATCAAGAATTTTCAGATAGAGCACGTTCAGCATTTGGCTCCTGGGACGGCAGCCAGATTTGGTGAACAAGAAGTTATAGCTTCAGTTCAGGTTCTCTTTCTCCTGATCAGTTTTTCTACCTTTGGTGAATTTTTCTACCATTGTATTTCTAATATAATTTTGTGTGAAGCCCGATCACTTATTAGACGATGCTGAGTCTGCCGCAAAAAAACTTGGAGTCGAGAGGGCCCACGGAGGATCATATTTATTTCAGTCACTTCTTGCTGGAAATGCCCAGTTGGCTCTTGGCTCTGACTGGCCTGTGAGAACAACTAATTCCAAGCTTTTGGTTCTTTTGCAGTATTATTTTTCTTCTGTTGAAAGCCATATTTGATTCGGCAACTCACTTCAGGTAGCAGACATCAATCCTTTGGGAAGCATAAAAACAGCCATGAAAAGAGTACCTCCTGGTTGGGAAGATGCTTGGATTCCATCAGAACGAATTAGCCTGAAAGATGCATTGAATGGGTAAAGACTGTTACCTCATTTATTATATTCTAAGGTTAATCGGAAGGAATACCCTTGTCGTTTAATCTAATTACAAAAGAGTCCCGAATTGTGTTCCAAAGTTGTAAGCATTTCAACAGCACCTATTGAGTAGGAATGTACTTCAAACATGTAATGACCCAAGGAGCGTACTTGTATTTTGAATATATAAGTCAAGTTTAGTTAGTCTAGACTTCAAATGCATTTGGTCCGAGATTCTTATTTGAAAAATCACTTGGTCTTGTGCTCTAAGAGCTATAGCATATATTGTAAGTATATAACAAAGGGATACTATTTTATTAGACTTATAAGGACCAATTTCTAAGTGAGTTTATTTATTTCGCTGCTTGGTAGATATACTATTTCAGCTGCTCGAGCGTGCTTCCTTGATGAGGATGTAGGCTCTCTATCTGCCGGTAAAATGGCAGATTTTGTGATTCTATCTGCTGACTCGTGGGATAAGTTTGCTGAAGAAGGTTCTGTTCTTGTTGAGGCTACGTATGTTGGTGGATTTGAAGCATATTCAAGGGACATTGACAAAAATTGATAAAGTAGAGAAAAAATGGGAATATTAAAAGTATTGATGTTGAGGAACATGTTTTGTGGGTCATGTCAGGCGTCTGACCCGGAAGAAAATGAGACCCTCCTTCGATTGTCCTCTCATCTGTTCGGATTTCTGCATGAGACGTGAATACAACATCTTGAGTGTTGATAATGTAATGTTGTCCAAGAAACATTTAAGTTGTGGCTGTGTCACGAGTCTGTGTAATGTGGAATGCTTTGTGGTTATGGTTCGTTTACTGTGGCTGTAGGCTTTGGAATATTTTTGGACATTCATGTATATATACGTGACTGGTTAGAGACTCTTGTATTTCTTAAGTATTCAAGTGAGAAAAAAAAAATAAAAAAAAAAATTGTGATACTTTTATCTGAATACATTGCTGCAATTTGTGGTACTTTTACTTGATGGAGGACTTGTATATAAATTATAATATAATACTTTCAAGTCATATTTGGCGTAAAATATAAATATATTTTGCTCAATAACAAATACTCTTGCGAGAAAAATTACAAGTCTACATAGTTATAGGAATGTCAATGTATGTTTAACTAAAACTGGACCTTTTGATCGTGTCTGGAGTGTTGATATATCCAACTGTTAGGATTTATTTTTGGTTGAGCTACCATCGCTCACCAAGCCAGGCCCGTTGGATGTGCTGATTTTATATTTATCTGTTGAAAAAGTAGCCATTAGCTCGGTTCTATTGAAGGAATGAGAGAGGTCGCAATGACCTATCTATTATGTGAGTAGGTTGTTGCAAGGAGCAAAGACCAAGTATGCAAAGGTCGAAAAGCTACGCTAGCCTTTATTGTCACGGCTAGGAAACTGAGACCTTGTTTCCTATGACACATGGTCATGGTGCGAACAAATTTCCTGTTGAAGGAGATCTTGGGCAGGTCGCCAGGAAGGATGGTAAAATGGGCGGTTGAGCTCGGGGAGTATAACGTCAATTTCGAACCCAGGAGAGCTATCAAGGCGCAAGCCTTGGTGAACTTTATCCAGAAGGGAACAATGGTGGAAGAGCTCGGTACGTGGGAGGTCTATGTGGATGGTTCCTCAACTAAGAAAAGAATAAGAATTGGAATCTTAATCTTACCACCTAGTGGAGAACCATTAAAGTTCGCAAATATGCTAACATTCAGGGCTTCAAAGGCAGAGTACGAAGCATTGCTCAAGGGAATGCAGTTAGTGATTGGCGTAAGAGCTAGAAAGGTGATCATACATTTAGATTTCCAGTTAGGGGTTCAGCAAATGCGAGGTGAATATGGGACTAAGGAGAGTAGGATGATAAAGTATGCAGAGGAGGCACGGGCGTTGGCTAAAAGTTTTGAGTCATGGGAGCTCGTGCAAATACCGAGGACCGAGAATGGTAGGGCCGACCTTCTATCCAATGTAGCAGCCTCGCTAGTAGACAACACATCACGATCGGTTACTCTGATACAAATGGGATCTAGCATATTGGAGTCAGTCATGGAGCTAGAGGAAAAAGCAGATTGGAGAAGCTCTTTGATAAGTTAGTTGGAGCAGACCAAGGTGGATCAGAAAGACTTACGAGGAGATAAGCTAGGTCAACAAGCTTTGCTATTTTTATCCAGGATGGAGTTCTTTATAAGAGGTCATATCTTGGGCCTCACCTGAGGTGTGTCTCTGAAGATGAAGGTAGTTACGTATTGCGGGAGATCCTTGAAGGTTGTTGTGGATACCATATCAAAGCGCGAGCATTGGCTGGGAAAGTCCTGAGGGTCGGATACTTCTGGACAGCCATGAGGGCGATGGCGAAGGAGCTCGTCTAGAAGTGCATCAATTGCTAGTAACACGGACAACTTATACACATACCTACAGAGGAGCTTGTTCCAATGAGCTCACCCTTGCTATTTGTTCAATGGGGGATGGAGATAATAGGGCCTTTTCCACAAGGCTCGGGCCAACAAAAATTTTTGCTATTGGTGGTTGATTATTTCAACAAATGGGTAGAAGCCGAGGTGATGGCCAAAATAACAGAGGAAAAGGTCATCAAGTTTTTATTCTCTAATATTTGTCGCAGGTATGGGATCCTAAGAGTGATAGTTTTAGATAATGGTCCACAATTCCGAGGAAAAAAGATGTTTGGTGCTAGGAGATGGGTATCAAGCAACATTTCACTTCAATAGCTCATTCGCAAGTGAATGGGTAGGCAGATGTGGCAAACTGAACCATTTTAAGGGAGCTGCAAACCTGAATAAACGGAGCTTCTGGAGCTTGGGTGGACAAGCTTGATACAATTTTATGGGCATATAGAACTATGCCAAGATCGATAACAGGGAAAACGCCATTCAGCTTGGTGTATGAAATGGAAGCTGTTATTCTGGTTGAGGTAGGCCTTAGTTCTGAGAGGGTAACTACTTTTGCAGCAGAACAAAATGAGGAGTTAGTGAAGGAAGCACTCGAGTTGGTGGGCAAAGCTAGAGAGCAGGCTTGGTTAAGGATAATGCAATACAAGCAGAAGATGTGTCTAACGCATGACAAGAAAGTAAAGAAAAGGCAATTCTAGGTGGGGGATCTTGTATGGTTTAGCGCTGACATACTAAAACATGTTGGAAGGTTGGAGCCAAACTGTGAAGGACCATACATCGTGCAAAGGGTGTTCGCCAGAGGAGCTTACGAGCTAAAGAGTCTAGAAGGTAAGGTTCTCCCGAGACCTTAGAACGTGGCAAACCTAAAGAAATATATTGTTGAAATGGTTGTAAGACACAATGATATGCGAGACACTTACGATTGATTAGTGAATGAAATGATTTGGTAACAAGCATGTGTACTGGGATATTTTCCGAACATTTTCCTTTTTCCAAGTGTTTGCAACTCGAATTTTGCTAACTAAGTGTGACAGCTTAAGGCCGAGCTCTTCGGAGCTCGAGTGTTATTTATTGGGTGTGACGGCTTAAAGTCGAGCTCTTCGGAGTTCGGGTGTTGTTTATTGGGAGTGACGACTTAAGGTCGAGCTCTTCGGAGGTTGGGTGTTGTTCATTGGGCATGAAGGTTTAAGGTCAAGCTCTTTGGAGGTCGGTGTTGTTCATTGGGAGTAATGACTTAAGGTCGAGCTCTTCGGAGCTCAAGTGCTGTTCATTGAGTGTGATGGCTTAAGGTCGATCTCTTGGGAGCTCGGGTGCTGTTCATTGGGTGTCACGACTTGAGGCTGAGCTCTTAGGAACTCTGGTGCTGTTCATTGGGTGTGATGGTTTAAGGTTGAGCTCTTAGGAGTTCGGGTGCTGTTCATTTGGTGTAAAATTGAACATATTTTAAATTTTGAACAGATTTTCCATACGTGATAAGTCAAGGTTTGACCCATTTTTAAGTTTTTCACAAATGATTTTCTATCAACTTCTTTCAATATATATACATAGAGATGTGAAAAATAAATAATAAATAAAAAATATTAAATTTTAAAATATATTTCTGATTTAAGTTGATTAAGTGTTTTATAATTTTAAAAATTCTAATAGTAAGAATAAAAATCAAAATATTTTAAACTACTATGTAGGTGCAAAGCATTAGAAGTCAACACATAGGCTCGGAAACTCTATGAATTTACATAGAGGTAGAGATTTAATGGTGAGATTTGACATATTCATTTTGTATTTGAAACCTGAATAAATTTTAAAATGTCACAATAAATTTTATTGTTAAATAATTTAATAAATAATTTACAACTTTCTAAAATATTTTAAAATCTCAATTAAATATATTTTCAAAAAGTATAAGGTAGGTACACCCGCAGCCTAATAATCTTGCTCACACCGCTTACCCCTCACCGGCTACCTTCAAACAAACAATCACGGCGAGGTCCGTTCGCGTGGCCGATCATACGCCGACGCGCAATTTATGTTTCCTTGTCGGCTGCGATCTTAATTCCTCAAGCAAGGTAACTAGTTCACCCTCTTCTTGTTTTGATTGATTCGTAATAACCATTGGCTGATGAACGTAGTTTAGGCAAGGCTTTCTGCGTGCAGTGCTTTGTGTTCCCATGGCCAGGATTAAGCTGCACTCTTGGAGCTAGATGATATGCCAATGCTGATATAACCTAATTTTCTCCATTTTTCTTTTTTCTTTTTGGTTGTGTGTGTGTGTGTGTGTATGTGTATGTGTGTGTGTGTGTGCGTGTGCGGGGGGTTGGGCGCATAGTAATATATCTGCCTGTTACAGGATTTGAAACACTGAATGTTGTTTGGTAACCTTGGATTCCCAAAGTCTGGTTTTCATTTAGGTCTACACCCTTTTGACATTTCAATAAAGTGTGTTTTTTAGGTTCATTTTTCTGAACCATGTGTATTTTATGTACAGATTTTGGGTAATTACTGATAATCAGTAACCACCAATGGAAATTGAAGAGAAAACCGACAATGATGGAGATATTGGGGATAAGTGCAAAAATTCAAATGAAGGTGAAGGTACTGTCCCATTGTACAGTAATATGTTGTCTATCTTCAACTTTATGAAGTGTTGTCTTACCACCATAGATGTTACCCCAATGAGCAAAATGTTGTAGCAGTGAATGAATATGTTGTCATGGTTTCTAGTAGTGACCAGATGATTGATATGAATATGATAATGTCTTACATATCATATGACTATTTATTAGCTTTTGTTACTTTTTTCATATGAAATGTTGAGATTTAATCGAACTTCCTTCAGGGGTTGTGACACCTGTTGATTCTAGTGATGAGCATGACGGAAGTAATGTTGAGAAAGAGCATAGAAATATTATCTTGTCCAATGAAGATCAAGGTAATGTTGTAACTTGTGAATGGTGTTTTATTACTTCAGTTGGGGAAGTGTTGCTCCAGTTGTAAAAATGGTATTTGTTTTTCTTAAGAAATGTCATCAGTAGTCCTTGAATAATAAGGCATTCTTGAATAATAAGGCAGGATATGGAAATTTTGTTCAGCTAGAGAACAGAGGTGAAAAAGGTTTTGGAGAAAAAAATGAGAATTATTTTGAGATTGTGAATGGTTCTTTTAAGGGAGTGGAGAATCAAGAGAATGAAATAAGAAATTTTATTACCAGAAGCTTGAAGCTTCCCAGCAAGAAATGATTTGCCCAATTGCAATAGCTATTACAATCTGATTCTTATTCTCCACTTTGTCTCTACTAGAGAATGTATATTTATATTATACAGACATAATTATAAAAGGTAATAATAATAGAAGCAATAAAATAAAGATCTTGTTAAGGAAGTTAATCCAGATCCCAAAATCACCCCAAATCTTTAAATTTGTTCTTCTTTCTTAGTTGCTTAGTTAAGGTTTGTTCGCCCATGTACCCTCTACTATTTATGCCTTGTTTTACGCGATTATCAATTTTTATTTACAAAAAATATCTACAAGTTTGAGGAGAAAAAAGTGAGAATGAGCGTATGGTGTAACTTGTGATTTTTTATTTTATATTTTTGTATCCAATCACAATTTCTGGGTAAACATTATTTGGTATTACGAATTTGAGAAAATTCAATCCCTAATTGCGGTGTAAAATTTTCAAAATTTATTTATTTTAGGTGATGTAGTAGATTTGTTTGGTTCTCTTGTTGGATTGAAGAGGTGGAAAATCGAAGATATATACGATTTGTACTGCGACCACGCACGTGAAGTTGGGTTTACTGTTAGAAAAACAACGACGCGGTGCAATCATGTTGGCGTTGTGATTGAAAAATATTATGTCTGTTCTTGTCAAGGATCTAAGCGGTCCACCGCCTCAAGCACCGGTGATCAAGTCCAGAGAAAAGAGAAAAAGAGATGCATAACACGCACAGGTTGTCAAGCATATTTGAGAGTCAAAATGAACAGCAAAGGTGTTTATGAAGTTATTGGACACAACACACAACATAATCACACACTTCATAGGAAGGTGTGGAGGCATATGCATCATCCTGAGAGGTTGATTTCCAGTAAGAATGTGATTTATGATGACGTAAAGGAAGAGCATTGTTCTGGTGAAGATCACTTGAATATTGTAAAACGATTGAATATGAGTGGGATAAAAGGAAGGGATGCACAGAGGCTTTTGGATGCTTTATGCCAGCAGAATGCTGAAGATAAAGATTTCTTCTTCAGAGTCAAATTGGACGATTTCGGTAGATTGTGCAATGTTTTCTGGAGGGATTCACTAATGAAAGAGGATTACAGGATGTATGGTGATGTTGTTGTCTTCGACACAACCTGCAGGAACACGCATAATTTGCTCTGTGCACCATTTATTGGGGTAAATAATCATCGGAAAAATGTAATGTTTGGCTGTGCGTTCATAGCGGATGAGAAGGTGCAGTCGTTTGAGTGGCTTCTCGAAGTTTTTAAAGAATCCATGGAAGGCCAATGTCCTGTTATGATGTTTACGAATGAAGATGTAGCAATTGGGAATGCAGTAGAAAAGGTATGCTAATTTCACTATTGTTATTTGTGAGTTCTGTTGAAATATAGTAGTTCTTCTCTGGTGTACCATTAATTTTATTGGATTGCATTAGTTATTTCAATATAATTTATTAAAAGTTCTAGTAATAGTACCTTAGCTGTGAAATATTAGAAATTTTCTTGTAATATTTTTTTTTGGGTTACTCATTCTCTCTCTCTCTCTCTCTGTGTGTGTGTGCGTGTGTGTGTGGATTCTTGTGCAGCAAATTATTAGAAGTCCTGTTGTATTAATTTTTATCTGATGTAAAGTATTGTGGGTTGTACTCAAAGAACTATTTTTAATTGTAGCTCTTTGTTTAATGTTTATTATGTAGGTTTTTCCAGGAATAAGACATAGGCTATGCTGGTGGCACTTGTACCATGATGCAGTGAGTCAGTCTGGGAATCTGAAAGGTGACAAATGCTTTGATGACGCATTTAACAAGTGTTTGTCGGGATGTACAAACGAATCAGAATTTGAAAGTTGCTGGAACTCAATGGTGTCGAAGAATGTCTTGAACGATCATTCTTGGTTTAAACGTCTGCATGATTTAAGGGAGAAATGGAGCACCGCATTCGGCAGTGACTTTTTCTCCTCTGGAAATCTACCCCACTGTGCTATTGGATACATTGCGAAAAAAATCACAAGCTTGCATGAATTTCACACCATTTTTAAAGAAACCGTGAAGCGGTTGAGGAGCAACGAGGCAAAAGACGAACACCGGTGCTCGACAGCAACACATACCTCAGCAGTACAGTTAACTGGCATATTGAAGCACGCCTCAGAGGTATACACGCTCCCTGTTTTCGAAGATTTCAAAGAGGAATTTTTAAAATCCTTATCGACTTCGTGTAAAATGCTGCGTGATGATAACGGCACTGTCATTTACAATGTCGTGCGAGATGATGGTGTGATTTGTGGTGAAGTGACCTTCACTGTTGCGGAAAATAAGATAAGCTGCTCGTGTAAGAGATTCGAGGATTGTGGGTTGTTGTGTCGACACTGCTTGAAGGTGTTTCATATGCATTCGATGACTCGAATACCTGATATTTATATCAAGAGAAGATGGACGAAATTTGCCAGAAAGGATTTGTGGGATAATCTCAGCATAGGAATTGGAAAGCCGGACGAGAAGGTTAACGGTTGCAACCTATGGAGGCATGATATCATGAGAAAGTATTATAATCTCTTGCTGAAAGCCCAAGACAATAACGAAGTACGAAAAACTATGGAAGATGGACTTGACAGACTTTCTGGGGAAATTGATGCACTCATGAATGCACGACATTCGACCAAAGAGAACGATGCTTTCAGTTCTTCTGTTGATGTTGTAGATACCATGTGTCCTAACGGCAAGAAGAGGAAAAATGGGGATTAATCAAACACACATCTGTTTGGTTTGGGGAACTTGTAATCCTTTGTTGTTTTAGTGATCGTTTTGTATATTCGTTTATCGGTTGTGAAAGTACCCCTGGCTTTTGTAAAAATGGGTTGTATTGCTGGTTTGGAAAAATGGAGGGGCAACCTTGAATTCCTCATTCTGTTCAATGAATTTAGGAGTAACGTTAGTAACTCATTATTATTGAAGATGTATTTACATGTCTTGTATAACTTTTGAATGATAATGGGCGGTTATATGTTTGTTGCAAGCAAATGTTGATTTCTTTCATATCCTCATATTATTAAGAGAAGATGGTATAAATACTTATAAATACTTTTTTCGTCATTTCGTAGAAATGCCAATTCTAATTCTTGTGTTTCTTCTTCCGCATTCGAAAAAAGGCTCTGACTTTGGCCTGAACATCAAAGTCATAAGGTTCCTGATGAGCTACCCGTCTTTCTTTGAGGAGCTCAAATTCCCCCTTTACGATTTTCCATGGTTTAAACTAACCGAGAGAGCAATCGAAGTATAAAGCTTTTCCATTGTTATCTTCACATGCTAATGTTACAGTAGTCAAGTTGGATATATACTTACACACATTAAAAAGCTGTGCACTTCTTGAGTGAAGTCTATGGACCCCCACATCCACATCTTCTTGCAGTGGCTGATCAATACACTTTATACTTCTCAAAATTTCAAAACAGCCTTTAAAAATCCGAAATTGATAGGAGTATAAACTCTGTATCCTTGTCTCATTTCACTACTAATACACACACCATTACTTGTACTCAATATCACCCATCCAGTGTGTTACTAACTTTATATTGGTCATAAATACTCCCCATATTCAATACAGTATCTCAATTAGTATTGTGGACATACGCCATCAAAAACTTTATGTACATTACTTACTTTCCTTTGCACTCTCTTCTGTTACATCAAATGAAAAGCTTCCTAGATAGCTGTTGTACCACAAATACTTGAACTGCTCGACCGCTCCTTTCGAACCGGGTTGAGCCTCCTTGATCGTCGGTACCTGCAAAACACGTCGGGGGTGGTCCCGGCGCGGACACTCCGACGCTCAAGTCAGTGATGTATCCGAGAGAAAACGGCAGAGTAACAATGTAACGAGTGTATGTGTGTTGTGTAAAATGAATGAACCTGTTCCCTTTTATAGGTGAGGTCATGTACGGGTCGAAGAGTTCTTATCGATCTAGAAGTCTTCCTCGTGTGTATCTCTAATCTGGGTCAGACATATCCAAAACTTAGAGTCCTCATCACCACAACTTCTTTGTGCCTTGACCACGAAGCCACCTCCAGGCTCTGGTCCCCTCGGCGACGAACCCTCTGGCCGAGCCTCCCAGATGTCGAGGTTCCTAGGTGATCACCTTATATATTCCGCCTAGGTGACCAGCCTTAGGTATTCCACTAACCCACGTCGAGCTAACCTCCGCCTAGCTGGTTGAACCACGCCTAGCTGGTTAAATCACGCCTAGCTGACTGGACTACGCCTAGCTCCCATCCACCAGAGGCACCATGGACGTCCATGCCGAGCTCCCTAACCCATGAAGCGACCACGCCTAACTGCCACTAAGTTCGGCCTATGGCCGGTCCCTTATGAACCACTACTCATGGTTGTATCAATAGCCACTTAAATTTTGTGAACTAATTCAGGTTCTAATTCTATAACAAAGCTTATTCAGCATGTGAATTCAAGAACATTCTCTTGCTTCCGGAGATATTAAAAAGCTTATTCGGCCAGCTCCGCGAGCTTAGGCGAGACTAACAGGCTTTCGCCCTAAAGAGGTCGTCGCCTAGCTCTGCGAGCTGAAGCGAGACTAACAGGCTTTCGGTCTACATAGGTCGTCGCCTAGCTCCGCGAGCTTAGACAATACTAACAGGCTTTCGCCCTATAGAGGTCGTCGCTTAGCTCCGCGAGCTTAGACGAGACTAACAAGCTTTCGCCCTACATAGGTCGTCGCTTAGCTCCGCGAGCTTAGGCGAGACTAACAGGCTTCCGCTCTTCAGAGGTCGTCGTCTAGCTCCGCGAGCTTAGACGAGATTAACAGGCTTTCGCCCTACAGAGGTCGTCGCTTAGTTCCGTGAGCTTAGGCGAGACTAACAGGCTTTCGCCCTACAGAGGTCGTCGCCTAGCTCCGCGAGCTTAGGCGAGACTACCAGGCTTTCGCCCTACAGAGGTCGTCGCCCAGCTCCGCAAGCTTAGGCTAGAATAACAAGCTTTCGCCCTACAGAGGTCGTCGCCTAGCTCCGCGAGCTTAGGCGAGACTACCAGGCTTTCGCCCTACAGAGGTCGTTACCCAGCTCCGCAAGCTTAGGCGAGAATAACAGGCTTTCGCCCTACAGAGGTCGTCGCCTAGCTCCGCGAGCTTAGGCGAGAATACCAGGCTTTCTCCCTATAGAGGTCGTCGCCTAGCTCCGCGAGCTTAGGCGAGACTACCAGGCTTTCGCCCTACAGAGGTCGTCGCCCAGCTCCGCAAGCTTAGGCGAGAATAACAGGCTTCCGCCCTACAGAGGTCGTCGCCTAGCTCCGCGAGCTTAAGCGAGAATACCAGGCTTTCACCCTATAGAGGTCGTCGCCCAGCTCCGCGAGCTTAGGCGAGACCTCACAAGCCGGTGCCCTAACGCATACCATACCAAACAAGAGTTAAGCTGAAAAAACTTCAAATGCAACTTTATTACTTGTCTTGCTAAAACATAACGAAATAACGACTGAAAGCAATTAAAAGTAATATGTCTCCAGCTACGCATAATATTTCTTCAAATGTGGTATGTTCCACGATCGCGGTAGTAGCTGCCCCTTGACATCGCGAAGTTCATAGGCGCCCCCCGCGAACACCCTCTCGACAGTATAAGGGCCCTCCCAGTTCGGTTCCAACTTCCCAACATGCTTCAGGGCATCCGCCTGACGCCAAACCAGGTCCCCCACTTGGAATCGTCGAGCTCGAACTTACTTGTCGTGGGCCGCCCTCATTCGCTGCTTGTAAGCCGCCGTCCTCAATCCATCCTGGTCATGCAACTCGTCGACCAGGTCCAATGCATCCCTTCGGAGCTCATCCCTAGCTCTTGTTTCTTCTCCCGGTGGGAGCACTCAGGCAGGTCGTCCTTTCTCCTCTTATGTTGTGCCTCGGCCGTCTTCAATGTGACCTCATAACACCGCCGAGATTGCAGCTGGTCTCCAGTCACCTCTCCAACTTCATTTCCTACGGGGAACTTAATCTTCATGCAATAAGTGGAAACAGCTTCCTGAAATGAATTCAAGCTAGGCCGCCCCAATATGATGTTATAGGCCGAGCTAGCATCCACGACCAGGAAGTGAACCATCTTCACCTTCCTCAGAGGCGAACTTCCCAATGCCACAGTCAAGCTAACTTCACCAACGGGGCGGACCTCACTGCCGCTTAAGCCAAAGAGAGCAGTGTGGACTGGCTCGACCTTCACGTCTAACTCCACTTGCTACAAACATTTTAGGAAAATAATGTCCACCGAGCTTCCTGTATCTATAAGCACCCTCTGCACATCATAACCTGCCACCTCTGCGGTGATGACCAAAGCGTCATTATGTGGGACGACAAGCCCCCGCACATCATCAGCTCCAAATTTTAGAGTAGCCGAGTTCCTCTGTACCTGCACCTCGGCCACCTCATTGGAAACACCCTTCCCCCGGTAGGTCCTCTTCCTCTCCCTATGTGAATCTCCATTCGTAGGACCTCCCGCAATCATGTGTATTATACCCTTCTTAACTGGTCTGTCGGGCTGCTCATCAGTCCTCCTCCGCTTGTTACCCGACTCACGCCCTTCCTGACGATCTTTCGGGCGCTCTTTATCCTTGATCATGAACTCCTTTAAGTGACGGGCCCTAATGAGCCGTTCAATTTCATCCTTCAACTCTCGGCAGATATTGGTCGAGTGGCCATAATCGTGGTGGTACCGACTATACCTATTATTTGATGCGGAAAATTTCTGCAGTAGGGGCTGAGGCTTTGGTTGTGCGAGCAGTTTGGCTTGTCATTTCCATCATCTCCAAGATCTCCTGCTGTGGTGCGTAAGTAGTTTGCAGTGCTCGTACCTCGGCCCCAACAGCTCGTCGATCACCCTGTCGAGGCCTCCCCTCTACCTGCTTAGCCTTTGTCTTGTCATTTCGGATGAAGTCCGCCTTTGATTCTTCCATATTCACATATTTGCTGCACCCCTCAAGTAGCTCGTCGAAGGACCTCGCTGGCCTCTTTGCCAATGAATCCCTACATTTCCCATGCCTCAATCCCCGTGTAAGTCCTCCCGCTTTGATCTCTTCTGAGGCATAGGGGACCTCCACGTACTCCTTAGTGTACCGCGCTACATATTGCCGCAAGGTTTCCCCTTCCTTCTGTTGCATATTAATCAACGAGAGGTACGTATTCTCATGCTTCTTGGCGCTCGCGAACTGATTCAGAAACAAAGAGCTAAAATTCTCAAAGCTATCGATAGATCCTGCTGACAGCTGGTGGAACCAATCTTGCGTCGCCCCTTCTAAGGTCGTCAAAAAGGCTCGACAACTCCCAACATCACTATACCTGTCCAGCACGGCTATGTTGTCAAACGACCTCAAATGCCTAGCTGGGTCTGTCGATCCATCATAGGACAAACTCAACTCTCGGAAGTTACTGGGCAAATCCCCTCCCAGGACATCCTCTACGAAAGGCTGTCCCGTGAAACTATGAGTCTCTTACCTTGTACTCGAGCTTGGAGTTCCCGCATCTGAGCCGTCAACCTCTCAAAAGTTAATCCATCCGGCTGTGTCGTTGCAGCCGGTCGGAAGGTCACCGACCTGGTATCATCATCCTCAGCTCTCTCCTGACGTTGGTGCTGCGGCTGAAGCGCAGGAGGCTGCTGTGGCGGAGGTAGCCAAAACGATTTGTTAGGAGCTCTCATATCCACTTCTTGAGCTCGGCCTATCGCCTCCACGATAATCCTATCCAACTCCGACCTGGTCATCTGGATAACTGGACCCCCTCGTGGTGCTGAGGAGACATTGTCACCTGGAAGGTTTTGTCCACCTGCCACGACCACCTGCCCGTTAGCTAGGGAGCCCTTCTGACCACCGGCACCCCCGGATCCCAAAACGCCCTGGTTCACTTCCCCATCAACCGGGATGCCTGTCTCATTTCCTTTGTCCGCCAGACCACCCGATCCTCTTGAGTTCGCCCAGTGCCCCTGAGCTTCTGGTGGTGGTGTTAGGGTCATGTTCGAGGCTAGCAACGTCTCTTTGGGGGTACCCGACAGCGGCTAC